CTGCGCAGAAGATAGCCTTGGTTTTCTGGGGAGACATCATCACACTTCAGACCGAACTTTCCGATTTTACTGCTATTTCTAGACAAAGAACAATGTCTCCTAGAGTAATGACTGACATTTACAGAGTATATTATATGCCAGAGGGCATTCTAAGTGTTTTACGTGCCTCATCTCATTTCATCCTCACAGCCCTACTATTATTTCTGTTAACAGAGGGAGATAAAGTAATTTCAAGATTGCACTGGCAGTCCTATTAATTGGTAGAGTCAGGATCCAACTAAAGGCAGTCTGAAGCCAGAGACCACCTTTGGTATTCACACAATTCTGATACAGGGAGGGCTATCCATCTAGACTCAGTGTGATAGGATACACAAAATATTTTCACTAGAAAGTACAGTGGTTGAACGGCTCCTGGCATCACTGGTAAAGCTTGGCTGTTGATAACTTTATTTCTAATCCATTGCTGTCCCCTGGTGGTTTTCCTGGGAAACTCACAGGCCAAAGAAATCCAAGGATCTAGTGAAAATTACTGGGATGAAAAGAACAGGACCAAATGAATTATTTGCTTATAAGCACTTTGTACAAATTCAACTAAGAAAAGAGTTCCTTCCTTTTGTCCCAACCTCACAACAGCTGACCTTCCAAGGTCCATGTTATTCAACTCAGTAGTGAATAGGGTTGTATTCCCTGTGCCCTCTAAAAGCTGATTGATAGCATATTGATTCAGCACAGACAGTAAAATGTATGCCCGTGATTATATTTGTACTTTCAGAGTAGGAAACTCCAAGATTTAATTAATTTCACCACTATGTACAACTTCATATTTCCTTTCCTCAACATGGCGCAGGGCTTCCAAAAGATCACTGTGCCCCATCCCAAACTGTATACCCTACTCCCTGACCTGACCTCTCAAATACATTTCCCTCCACTTTTCAGGTGTTGCTATTATTCAACGAAGTGAGGCTTGCTATTCCTGCTTCTCTCACATGATTGGTGGTATATAATTATGTAAAATAAAGCAAAACAAGGTCACTTAATATAAAATAGATAAGGTCTAACTGGGAAAAAAGGAGGAAAAAGAGTTTCTGAAAGAGAGTCATGTCTTTGGTGCACCATGGGACCACAGACCCAGGTGCCTGCCTTCTATAGTTCTAGGACAATGTACTCTGAAAGAAGGAGGCGACCAGAGCCCAATGCAGAAGACTGATGAGTTTTTATTTATTCAAAGATACATCTCCAGGTAAATAAAGAGGCTGTACGTTAATGTTGTTAAAAAAAAAAAAAACCCAAAAACAAAAACCAAAACAAACATCTGCTAACTCAGCACTGCATTTAATGGAAACCACCAAAGACAGAAAAAGAGACGTGAGACATGGTCACTCAACACCCCTGGAGAGTAAGTCACACTTGTTGAAGCAACAGAGGTGGAGATGTTGTCAAGGGTCACAATACTCAATGAGGCACTTAGAGATTGAGTAACCTGCAGAGGTAATAAATGTCCCAGCTAGATGGGAGTGGAACCCATCCTCCACTGTGAGGGCCTTAACCCAGGGGAAGTTATCTGATATCCCTAAGCAACCTCCTTCAGGTCCTGTCTGATTGCGCCTCCCTTATTCCAACAGCAAAAAACAATGAAGACAATTAAACCTACAGTCCCACTCTCTCTTTTTTCTTTCTACCTTTTCACAAAGAATACTACAAAGACAACAGTTCTGAGCTCTCAGGAAATAGGGTCTTATATGCTTTTAGAAGCTGAGGGGCATAAAACAGCAGTCTTGAAATTCCTGTCATTTTACAGCACTGATTTAATTTCAGGTATGATTTCTCCTTCCTTCCACCCATGCCCTCTTACTCCCAGATAGACATACTGGCACCAAATAGCTCTAGTCTTTGATCTGTATTGGGATTTTCCAACAGAAGAGAGATTGGTCTTTGTCATCGTGAAGTTCCCACTGCACCGTCAGTTTTATCTGGAAAAAGAGAAAAAGAATTGGGAAAAATGAAAATAGGACCTGACCTCAATCCATAATCGGCCTAACTATGTATCCCATATGGAAACTGTAACAAACTGCCTAATTCCTCATATTTTTCTTCTTAAATCATGCTACCATGAAGGATGTGGGCACAGTCTATGATCTTAAACTTGAAAGATTGAACCAAGATATATCTATGATTTGATGTTAGTAATACCATACCTAACCAGTTAATTTACCAAATATAATTTCTAAAGCAGGCTTGGCGCCTGTAGCACAGTGGTTATGGTGC